TTACATAAATAATTAAGGCTTAATGTCACTATAAATTCTTCAACTTAGTAAAAAGAGTCATTATCATCCATCTAATCTATGATCATACTTTCTAAAATGAAACTTTTAGCTTATAATTAAAATTGATAATCGTTTTTATTTATAATTTAAAAGATTTACTCTATTTGAATTTTTTTTATATATAATAAAGATATAGTAAGCTTACTTTGAGAATACTAAATTTTAACATAAATATTTAATTTTTAAAAAAAATAATGAGTGATGAGAAAATAATTATTTATAAATTTTATAATCTAAAAACTAATAATGTTTGTAAACATATTTGTATTATAAAACAAACTTTTGAAGTCAAAATTGGATGTTCAAGTTTGTGCAAGTACCATAATGATAATAATAATAATAATAACACGTAAATGAGTCCAAGTGAAAAAGAATTAAATAAGGTTTCAAATTTAAATTTTTTTAATATAATTGAATATCAAAAGGTTAATAAAAAAAATCATACTAATAGACAACTAATTAATGAAAAAAATGCAAACTAACATTAAAATAAAAAATCATTTACATATTACATTAAATGAAAGGAGCATTCTAAACAAACATTTAAACATAAATATAAATATGTTCATCCCTTATTATTTATTCCATTATTATGGAAAAAAAAAAAAAAACATAAACATGAAGAATGATTATCAGAAACTTATAAACTCAATGCCAAAGCCAAAAATGAAAAGCAAACCCAAATTACGTTGCCCATTTAACCAATCTCCTAGTAAGCTTTCTCAATGGGGATGAATTTTTAAAGGAATTTCCAGAAGATGTCGATGAATCATCATCCGCGTTTGCTTTAACCCCTTCCGATTTTGCCTTACCCCTTTTGCCATTTTGATTTTTCTGAAATTTTTTCCTCCAAAAGCGTGACACTCTGGCCATCGGAGAAACCCAAGGTTTTACCCTGGCTTGGCTAATTAACGGCGGCGGTGGTACCAGCAGAAAGGACGACAACGACGACAAATTCTTCTGATGCTCGGCATCTGAATCAGAAAACCCAAATTCTTCTGACGATTTCATACCCTTTTCTCTCTTTGCCTTGGTCTTCTTGATGTTCTTGATGTCTTGGGTAAGTGTGGCAATTGGTGGCACGACTGGCGGCTCTGCCTTCGTGTTAGGTGGATCTTTGGAGGTACCGGGATGCACTTCCCATCGGAAAGGAGTGCTGCCGATGGTACTCCCGAAGTAACGCGAAGAAGTACTCCTTGGAGAAGTACTTCTTGAAAGAATTTTTCGGAGAAACACAGGGTCTAGTTGAAACAGAGAAAATTTGTTTTCTTCTTCGGGGTTGCTACGCCCACTCTTCATCTTAATTGGGTGCATAATCTAGTTTCACCAACCTGAATTCAGCATTATATGGGTGTCATCGATCTGTTACATCAAATCCCTTGGATTCCGAGAATTACTCTTTGCTCGATTTTCTGTTTTCAAACTTAGGAGCATACTCGTTTTGAAACTAGTTTGTAATTTTTTGAATTTAATTTTTGCATGTTGAATGCTGATGTGGCAAACCTGTGAGAGATGTTTTAAGACTCCTAAGAATAATCCGTTAAAATCATTTTAAAAAGTATTAATTTATAAATGTAATGGCGGTGCTACATATATTTATGATTGGATATAGTCCTATTATAAATTTTAAAAAGTTAAAAAAGTTAAAAACATAAGGTTTTAAGAAACAAAAAAAGCTTTACCTTTATTTTTTTTATGAAAAAAGATTAAACTGAAGTTTACCAAAAAAAAAAAAAAACTTACATTTAATTGATTTGTGGTTTAATTATAATATAAATACATTCAAGTTAACTTAAAGATACAAAAATCGTATAAACAAAAACATCACATGATACAATTTGTTATATATATCTAATGTAATATAAAGCCATTTTATGCTAACAATTGATTTGTCCTTGAGATATATATTACAAAAAACACAATAAAATTACACAATGATCAATTCACACATTAAGACATATGACTTGTGCATCATTGCCGTCTTGCTGCACGAACAATTACCCAAGAAAATTTCCATGGACCGCAACCATAAGATCCATGCAGTGAATCCCTGGTCGGACCCCCTAAGCATGACTGTGGAGCAGAATGAGGATTAGATAAGGAAATGGACGAAGAAGACGAAGAGGTGGAAGCAAGCGGCGGAGATGCCGTAGCTTCACCATCGCAGCTACAAATCTCAAAATACTTCTCTGATTCCGCGGCATCTAAACGATCACTACTTGCTTTAGGCTCCATTTGAAGCTTCTTAGTCCGATCACCTTTTTCCCTCTGCTTCCAAAACTTGAACCTTAATAGCCTTGGAGGCTTAGGCTCTTCGACGTTGATACATGGTTTAGGCAGCCCTAGGCTGAGAATCGCCGGTGGAGGACTAAGGGGTGGGAGATTATCTTCCTTGGGCGGATCCTTTGGCGTCCCCGGCTGCATTTCCCAGTTAAAAGGCACCCCTTCAGGACTCCTGTAATATATCCTTGAAGAATACCCCGCAGAATAATTTCTTGAAAGGATCTTGTTGGAGAAGAACCCATCATCTTTCGTCGAAATGGAAGCTCTTTCCCCAACATTACCGCCTTTTCGAGTCCCATTTTCCATCTTGATCTTAAAATTTTCACAATAGAGGAATGTCAAAGGTATATATAGAACGTATTTATATATAGAGAGGAATCGATTAATCGATTTTTAGACAAATGATGGAGGATTTGGGTACATGATCATCCAATCTTTGAAAGTTGACGAGGGAATTAAGGTTTGGACAATCGCCAGCCTTATTTATATTTTGATATCTGTTATATATTTTATTTTGTTGAATGATCAATATGTTGTTACTTCTCTTTTGAGTGACTTGAGTTTCTTTTGTTTAGACAAGCAAACCGAAGAAAAAAATATGGGCTGCTCAATGAATGCAATTTTCTTTGTTGTCAAGGTTACGCCGAAGTCTTTTGGTTGTTTGTCAGGCGGTTTTCAATGGTATTGCATGTGCAATCACCCAACCCTAAAGACATGTCTATTTTCCACTATAATAATCTATGTAATTAACAAAGATCTTCTAGGGGAAGAAAAACCCGGTGGTGTAGCTGTGTTGAAACTTGGAAGTACTTACCTATCTTGGATCAGATTAAGAAAAATCAACTTTGAATATCATTATTTTACTGTAAATATTCTAAAATTAGATCTATTAGTAATAATATATCATTTTATAAATTAGATCTAAAGTTAAAACTTTAGAACTAACACTTAAATAACTGCATCTTAGAAAAACCTGCTGCCTAAATTAAGCATGTTCAATGGAGTTACATTTAGTCGACTTCCGAGGGGCTTCTAGTGCATGTGATGAATTTTTATCAAAAAAGCAAAGATGGTGTGAAAATGGTATGATTGTGTATTAATAACCAGATCTTTAGAAACACCCATCTTCATATTCAATTCATGGAAGAAATATTTAAAAGATTACAATTATTTTCAAAATATTTAGAGGTGGGTACGGAAAATAGAAACTGCGTCTTTAAGACAACCTTGATTTCTCACCAGACTCAAGAAAGCTCCCACAATTGAGTTAGCCTAATTGCTGTCCCGTCGTAATAAATAACATGTTAGTTTTTCCTTCTTTTTTTTTTTTTTCAAACTCATACAGAAACTTCTCACTATTTATTTTATTTATAAAATTTGAACTTAAAAATTTTATTTTAAAAAAATCAAAATTTTTTTACTTAAATCAATAAATTTTTGGTAAATAACATGTTCGTTGTTAATAAAAAAAAATTTGAAGTATAACATAATTGCCTTCATGGATAAAACAATGCTATTTTATAAATTAAATTTAATATTCAAAATTTTTTTTTGAACATTTTTACCATGAGATCGATAGAACCGTTGCCATTTGAAGGAGGGAGAAATGAATCTTCAAGTGTGGCTAACGTCACTTGACCCATAGGCCAGGTTCATTTAATATTCAAATTTGATAGTTGACATTTAAAAAAATTAAATACATTAGGTCAATATAATAAATGCATCTTTAAAATTATTTGGAGAGAGATTAATCTTATAGTGCTTTGGCTATAACCGTCAACACCAAAGAAAAAAACAAAAAGAGAATTTGAAGAGTAACTAAGGAAAGTAGGGTACATCGTAGCAGTTGCTATGGTAAATTTTTTATAAAAAAAAAAAAAAGATTAGTATTGATTATAACCAATAATCAAACAACCACCCCCTAGTTAATAGCTTAAAAATATAAAGATTTCATTCTGTACCAAACACCCCCTTAAATATGAAAGCCAAATATTCTCCACCTTTCCTGTTTTAGGATACAATAACTTATATTTAGCATCTGTATCCAACTCTGAAAAATTCCTTGGGCAAGACAGTTAGTCCGTAAGTTAAACCAATTCCTAAATGTTAGTTTAGAAGGATGTGGTGGCCTCTGTATCTAGCTGGCATATGTTAAACAGAAAATAGAAAAAGTTGCAGATGAGAACAAAGGGATGGCAATTGGGTTTGGTTCACATCTGCTAATTGTTGGCTTT